GGGTACTGGGTGGGACAGAAAACCCCAACAAGCCAGCCCTTCATGTTACAGAATGGTGCCCAAGCCCCTCATGTTACATTTCTTAATTTGGCTTGTTGTGATATGACTTGATTGGGATTTTTGCATCGGCAGAGAGCTCGCGTTAGGAATAATTCCTAACAATAAGGTAATTAATTTTGATAAATTGAGGGAGTTCCTTGCCCAGCTTACAGAGGCCCTCCTCCAGCACACAAAGCAAGACCCTAATTCTCAAGAGGGCATGTTTGTCCTCAACTCTCACTTCCTCTCTTCCTGATAGTAGAAAGAATCTTAAAAGACTGGCTGTGGGCCCTCAAACTCCCCAGAGAGATCTGCTGAATACAGCGTTTAAGGTGTTAAGGGAAGTGAGGAGCAGGTAGAGATGGAGAAAGCTTCCTGAGACAGAGAGAAGTGCCAGCTCTTAGCAGCTGCCCCCGAAATGTCCCCGAAAGATGATGGGGCACAGATGAAATCCACCTGAACTTGCTTTAAATATGGCAAAGTAAGCCACAGCAGGGTCCCTGTCCAAACTGTGGACAAGCAGGACACTGGAGAGTTGATTACCCAGCTTCCCCTAGACAAGGTAGATGGGTCCCCCAGGATCCTCCTCCACAGGAAAGTCTGTTGGATCTTCTGGGCCTGGAAGCCAAAGACTGATGCTGCCCTGGGAAACCTAGGATGGTTGTCCAGGTAGCCTCTTGATCAACACGCCAGCCTTCCTGGGCCCTAACAACTTCACCCCAGTTCAGCAGGAATAGTTACAAAAGAGACATCACCCCTTTATTTATAATCAACAAAAGATTAGAACATCCAGTCCTCCAAGAAAGTCCTTTTCCCAAGGTCAGATATTTAGACAAAAGCCCCAGTCCCTCAGGAGCTTGAAGAAAGTTCCTGCTTGCTACAAAGGGAGTCATTCTCCCACCTCTGGCAAGAGGAACTTGTGGCCCTTGATAACACACCTGTGGCACCTATTTATTTGTCAAGGTCAGTGCTAGCCTGCTAGCCTGTGGGCTCCCTCCAACCCCTGCTCAGAAGCCCCCTTTCTCCTAGTCCCATGGAATCCTAAAGATCATTCCCCACACTTCGTGCTTTCCAGGAAGACAGCCTTGGCAGTAGAATAAACTTTTTCTCCTCCCACTCATGAAGCTGCTACTTTGGTCTCTTTACTTTGTCCATTTTCATTCACTGGGCATTACCTTTCTTCCTGAATCATCTTCCAAATCTTGTAGGCTGTTCGTTCTCTCTCTCTCTCTCTCTCTCTCTCGCTCGCTCTCTTGCCCTTTTGTGCTCTTGTATGTTTGTTCTCTTGAACTTTCTTCCCTGCTCCTCCCTCTTCTCTACTATAAAGCCCAGACTGACTGAGCCCAGGATGGCTTTGAACTCATGATCCTCCAAGGCTACACTCTCAAGTGCTAGGATTATAGGCATGCTCAGTGACACCCTATTTAAGGCATGTTTTCCTTAGCATTGTCTTGGTACCTTTCTTCTTTTGATTCACCAGTCAACTTACCATATGACTATGCCTTTTCATGACTATGCCTTTTCTCTCCAGCTACACAAAAGCTATTTCCAAAGGCATCCCACCTGCATCTAGGAGAGAGGTTTGTTCATCTAAAAATGATTTTTAATGACCTTTCAGCTTTTGACACAAACTCCTCCACGATCTCGGAGGTTTTATAATTTTTCACATTTATTCAGCTTATTCATGAAAATAAAGAAACGTATCACGTGTCTCTTTCATTTAAAGGAACCCAACCATTAACTACAGAAAAGAGAGAAAAGGTATGATTCACACAGCCAGGGTACTCCATCCAACTAGGCTTCACAGGAGTGCAGACTAGGAAATGGATACCTGCTGTCCCTTTGGTCAGTCTCAGCTCATGCATGCCCATGTAACGGCAACCGACTTCATATGCACCGACAGGAATAAACAGTACTCTGCTCCAGCATGGAGCAAAAGCCGGCTGCACTGCGACAACTGGGTTTTTGTTTTGTTTTGACTTGATTTTTTTCGAGACAAGGTTTCTCTGTAGCTTTGGAACCTGCCCTGGCACTTGCTCTTATAGACCAGTCTGGCTTCGAACTGGTCTGGATCACAGAGATTCGCCTGCCTCTGCCTCCCGAGAGCTGGGATTAAAGGAGCACCACCACTGCCCTGTGGTTCTTAAGAGCACGTGCCTCTTCCTGGAATGCCTCAAAGGTACTCAGTTGGGAAGCTACTCTAATCACTTTAGTGGCGCCACCAATCATGTGCACATGAACCTAGTCAAAAAAGTATGCACAGGACATCTGTCTCCAATCTGGCCTGAATCAAGGTCCTTCCAGGAATGTGTAAATACTGTAGACAAGAGTTTTCTCTCAACTCTGGGGTACACCAGCTTGGAGAGGCCATCAGGAGCCTATTTTTCACACAGAATAGAATGAGTCGGAGACCGAGACCTTGGAGGTTCTTTGTGAGGGGGTAGAGGTACACACATTCAGTGGTGTAATGACACCCTACTGTGTCCCAGGTTCATAAACTAATAAATCTCTTTTGGTCTAAGTGCATTCGAATTGATTTTCTGACATAGAAAGAGACATAACTTTGAAAAATATAACTGTTACCAACGTAAGCCTAAGAAGTCATTAACAGTGAGAAGTCCAGGATAGGCCTGCAGCTGCTGACTCAAACCCACAATGTACTTACGATGCCAGATGCAATGAAGTAGCCCAAACAATAACTCAGTCCCATCTAAAGGGGAGCACACTAGCCTCATAAGTATACACAAGGGTGGCTGGGAACTGTGGGTCAAGAAAAGATGTCATCTAAGGTCTTTGAAATCTAATAAACAAACCAAAAGTTAAACGTATTTCACAATGAATCGGGAAGACAGTTCAGTCAGTACAGAACAATGTCTGCCATGCAAGCGTGAGGACCTGAGTTTGGTGATTTGATGACATCTGTTAAGTCCCCAAGACTCACAGAAAAAGTCAGGACAACTGTGGCCCACATCTGTAATCCCAGCACTGGGGAAGTGGTGACAGGCAGATCCCTGGGGCCCAGTGACCTGTCAGCCCAGCCTACATAGCAGGCTGGGGTCTCAAAAGAAGGGTGGGAGGCTGTCAAGACGCCTCAGTGGGCAAAACACTTCTGTGCGAGCCTGGCAACCTAAATCTGATTCCCACATTAAGGTGGAAGGAGAGAATCCCACAAAGTTATGCTCTGACTCCCACATGAATGCCTTGGAAGACACACATGCACACATAAAATAATAACTAGATTTAAACTTTTATTAAAAAAACAGAAAGGGTAAGTCTGGGAAAATGGATCAGTAATATGATGTACAGATATGGGGGCCTGAGTTTATACCCCAAGACCTATATTAAGACGCTGCACATGGTGGCAGGAGCCTGCAATGCCAGCACTGAAGAGATGGAGACAGGAGGATCCCTGAGGCTGACTAGCTCGCACTTCTAACTGAATCAGCAAGCTATGCATTGGGCAAAAGGTCTTGTCTCAAAAATAAAATAGAGGGTATGAGAGAGATGGTTGAGTGATCTGGATCAGAGATGGCTCTGAAAGTACACTGGTCTCACAGTAAGAGGCTGGTTCCTGCACCAGTCAGGTGGCTCACAACAGCTTGTATTAAGTCCAGCTCCAGGGTTGTGGAAACCTCTTCTGGGCTCCACCGTCAACCTCTGGCTTCTACATGCATGTACACACACATGAACACTCACACAGTCACAAAAAGGCAGATATGCACATGGCATGAAAAGCCATGCACAAAGGCCTTACTTCTTCCATGGCAATGGCTAAAATGTCTATGGAATAGTGGAATAGAGCTAAGAGAGTCACCAACAGTCCTCCAAATGCTGCGGGACAGAAAGCACTCGCCGGCTGCCAACAGTCCAATTACAAAGGAAACCTATAAAGAAAATAAGCAGCATCTCATTTTGTTCGAGGTCTGTAAAGAATTTTCTCACATAACTCAGTCACTTCAACCATACAAAGCCCACAGTTCAAACAAAACTCCATTTATCTTTATTGTGTATTCTACAAACCGGGTCAGCTATTGCCAGATGATTCAATACTTTCCTGCTTAAATGTCAACATGAGCAAACCCATGACTTAAACACATGTGGGTCCCCCATCCTCGTCTATATTGGACGCACTTCAAACACAGAAGTGTAACACAAACCCACACACCACGACGTGTAATTTTCTCCCAAACAGAGACACCTGGAATAGAGCTAGCAGCACAAGGCAACATCTGTGCTTACATTACCAGCGTTTTGAAGGGCGGGGTAGGGGGTGAGGGGTGCAGTAGAGTGGGCAGTTCAGTCACTAGCAATCCGGGCAAACACAGCCCCGCCTACTCAGAGAAGGCTCGGTATCCACTCTGGATAACCCAGCACAATCCTACTTTCTTTGAAACACGCCCATTTAGTACACCCAAAGTCTGGATTGCTGCGTCTTTCTGTCCACCGAGTGCCACACCTGGACAGCTAGCCAAGGTACAAGGGTGCCCCCAACTTCCACCTTGCGGCCCTCGGGCTGGGGCACACTGGCAGGAGGCGAAGAGGAACCGGCCCCACAGGCAGCATATCAGTACTACGGGGTGAGCGCCTTCATCCCGAGCGGTGTGGGAGGGACGGCATCCACCTCCCAGCCGCGGTGCCGGGTGGGCGCGCCTGTCCCGCAGCCTAGCAGACCCAGTCCCAGGCCAGCCCGCGGTGACCGCAGGGTCTCCGGGAGCCACCAGGACGCAGGACCCGTCTGCGCACTCCTGCTGCGCCGCCCCGCCCCTCCCCGCTCGGGGACACGCGTTACCTGAGCCTGCGTCCGCCTCGTCGGGACCCCGGCCCACGTGACCCCGCGAGGGCAGCCCACGCACGCGCAGATTCTCCTGCTCGCCGGCGCGCTTCCGCTCTCTCCGCGATCGACGCCAGGCGCGGGGCGGGGCGAGTCTGTGCGCCACGCCCTCCTTAAAGGGAGACTCCGCCCCGTCGCCTAGGACTGTCACCGGCGCCGCTGGGGCCTCAGAGCAGGAACACAGACTAGTCAATAGAGATCCTCAGAGGGGAGAGGAACGTCTCTTTCAACCCTGATCAGTGAGTTTACCTGACCTCCCAGAAACTGACCCCAAAACCGGGTACCGTGGCGTATGCCTGCCGTCCTCGCACGCAGGAGCTTCAGGCAGAAGAATCACCGTGAGTTCAAGCTAGCCTAGGATACAAAGTGAGGCCTGTCTCAGATTCTATGGACGGACGGATGGATGGTTGCATGGTGAGTTGGGGATAGAGTTGGAATTAATTTCTGCTAATTAATTTTCTTAATTAATTAAAAGGCAAACACAGAACCCAGAACTGTCAGTTTGGGTGGATAGTTATTGAGGAAAGAGGAAGCATTGTTTTTGCAAATAAACATGGATACTAAAAACTGTTATTTTTCAATTTATCTTTTTTTTTAATCGTTGTTTTGCCTGTATGTATGTCTGTGTGATGGTGTTGGATCCTGGAGTTACAGACAGCTGTGATCTGCCATGTGGGTGCTGGGAATTGAACCCAGGTCCAGAAGAGCAGTCAGTTCTCTTAAACACCAAGCCATCTCTCCAGCCCCCTCGTTTACCACTTTAAAAAGTTCATCTTAACATCAAAACTACAGGGTGGGTCACATTATCAAACAGAGAAGCCATCTTCATATTTTTATTAACTTGCTGCTGGGAAAAGATGAAAACTTTCAGGACAGCTTGGTGCTTTACAGTCGCCGCTGTGTCATTAACCCCAGCAGGCAGGCACTGTGCTTGATGGACCTGTCTGTGGTCCAGACGTTAGGAGGAAGAGTGGAGGAAGATGCCTGAAAACGCCCAGGATGGCTGGCATCAGTTGAGTATCAAACAGGCTCACTCTACTCCTACACTTGGGTTCAACGCCTGGGTCAGATCCAGACATGGGAAAGACAAAGGACTGTCCTGTCGGTACTTTGGGGCTGAGAACTTGGCAGGCAGATGACAATGATATGAAGAAATTATAGGGGTGTTTAGGATCATGATGGAGGAAAATAATCGACACCTTAGCTAGAAATAGGACTACTGTAGTCAGGAGCCCAAGAGGCTACCTGAGGGCAAGTGGGATCAGTTACAACCCGAGGTGAGTTTAGGGACCAGTGCTGGCCTGATGTGGTTAGGGTACCTACAGTGATTCTCAAACACCTTTCATTGCCACCCACAGAACCACATTTCAGCCGTGACTAAGCATGTGCTCATGTGCACTGTGATTAGTGACACCAGAGCCCCGAGTGACAGAACTCACGCAGTTCCGGGCAGAGAACACACATGGGCGTGGGGTTATAGGAGATGAAAATTGAGAAGGTTGTTAGTGAGCCTTTTCAAAATATCTCTGTGGCAGTTGTGCCCTTATATTCCCAAGTTACAGACAGTTGTGATCTGTCGTGTGGGTGCTGGGACTTGAACCCAGGACCTCTGGAAGAGAAGTCAGTTCTCTTAACCACTGAGCCATCTCTCCAGCCCCTCCAGTTTACCATTTCAAAAGTTTATCATGGCAGTAATGCACCTGTTCTGGGTAACTCCAGAAAGCAAGCCTACGACTTTGGGTAGATCTACCTCTGAAACCCCTTCAGTGTAACAACCTTCCCTGTGCCCTTGTTCACAGTGCGGACCAGTTGGAACGGCGTCACATGCTTGCCTGTCCATTGCTACCTAGCTAAAAATAAAAATAGTGGATGCTTATTATAGAAAGCTTGGAAAATCCAGGAAATGTTTAAAAATAAAAACTACCCATATTTCTCTTTGGGGCCTACTTTTATTAAGTCTTTGTCTCTGGATAATTACTTTTTAATCATTTTTTTTATTTTGGTTTGGAGGAGAATTAGCAGTAACATTTTTATTTTTATTTTTCACTTTTATTTATTTGTTCTTTGACATATATAGAATACATTCTAACTATTCCCAGCCAACCCCTGCCAGCCTCCCAACCAGTCCCTTTCCCAGACTCATGACTTCTTAAAGACTTTTTTAATTTTTATTTTATGCATATGAATATTTGCCTGTGTGTATGTGTGTGTACCATGTGCATGTCAGATGTCTTTGGAGGCCAGGCAGATGGTTGTGAACCACCATGTAGATGCTGGGTACAGAACCTGGGCCCTCTGCTAGAGCAACACATACTCTTAACCCCAGATGCCACATCCCTCCAGCCCTAGGTTTTTATTTTGTTTTGAGACAGGGTCTCACTCTAACTCAGGCTGGCCTTGAATTCACAATAGTCCTCCTGACCTACCTCCCAACTACTGGGATTAGCTGTTAATCCCCTATGCCAGGAAAGTCTTAACATTTAAGAAATCTTGAACTCAGAAGATTGCTCAATGGGTAAAAGCACTTGCTGCCAAACCTGGCAACCTGAGCTTGTTCCCTGGGGCCCACACAGTATAAAGAATTGTCCTCAAACTTCCACGTGTGCACTGCAGTGTGGCATATTGCACGTATGCATCACATATACACAAGTAATAAATGTAACTTTAAAAACCTGTATAAATAGTAAGAAATATATTATGTGGAGTTGCGGGTGTTACATGGTGTTTGCCTAATTTGGGGTTTGATCCCGAACACTGAAAAACAAGGCCATACATTTTTGTTTGTTTGTGTGCTTGATAATGATTGTGTAATGGCCCTAGCTGTCCTGGGTATTCATTTAGTGGGTTAAAGAGGAGAAGGGCAGAGAGAGAGGCAGAGTGAGAGAGAGAAACAGAGAGATAGAGGGGGCAAAGAGGAAGAGTGTGGAGATGGGAGAGAGGCAGAAGCTGCCTCTTCAGGAGAGAGACATGGAAAGAAAGGAGCTCAGGCTGGAAGTGCACGCTAGATCTGCTTGCCTCAGCGGATAGGAAGGGAGTGGGCGGGGCTTGTCTCGTAAAGGGACAGGACAGACCATTACAATTACTCTTATTGCTAGTATTTCTTAGCAATAAAGCATTCCTAATTGAGGCTGTGTATGTTGTCTTTTTATAATGTGATCGAATACTGACTATACTACAGAGCAGTGTAAATGTAACTTGTACCCACTGAGAAACCAGAAAGTTGGCGTGACTCACTATTGCAGTGTTTGCTTAGCTGCAGTCTGGAACCAGAATCACAGCATCTCCAAAGTATGCCTGTACTTTAATTCCTTTAGTCCACTACTTGGACATTTGGGGACTTCTATTTTTCACTGCTTTCATATTTCCATAAATATCCATACAGAAATCTTTTGCCAGTAACTTAAAATTATCTCCCTAGGATAGAAAACTATACTGATTCAAAGGTTTTTGAACTATATTAAGTCCACCAGATTGCTTCCTACGAAGGTCAGGAAGATTTTGTTCCCGCAGTACGTGTTTAAGAGCGCCTGTCACACATGCCCACCAGCATTTACCTTTCTTTAAAAAGCTTTGCCAATATGACAGATGAAATGGAATCTCATTTTAATTTGCGTTGGATTGATTGCAAGGTAGGAAAAACTTTCCAAATGTCTGATCCCTTTGTAGTTCTTCTAGGACTGAAATTCCACTGCCTGTGTTTGGCTGTGTGGTGGGCAAAGAGCAGCAAGTGAATTGCTGCAAGCTTGAGGACAAATCAGCAACAGAACCACTTAACAATAAAGGGTGTGGTCACACCAAGCGGATTGTCACATTGTTTTTTGTTTGTTTGTTTTTTATTTTGTGGAGGAGTTTCTCTGTGAAGCTCTGGCTGTCCTTGAGCTCACTCTGTAGACCAGGCTGCCCTTGAACTCCCAGAGATCCGCCCACCTCTGCCTCTCAAGTGCTGGGATCAAAGGCATGCACCACAACACCTGGCCAGCATGATCAGGTTGCTGTGCTGTGCTGTGCTGTGCTGTGCCATGTTAACAGAGACTGGGGGAGAACTGAGTCATCACCTAGCAGGTCACCGAGTGGACCATGCTGTTGCCATCGACAGTGCTAAAGTTTGGAGGGTGACTTGGTTTCAGCAGTGCATCATTCCTACTGTTAAATAAATGTGACAGATTTGAATTTCTCTTCATTTGCTAGTTTTATTTGTATTTAGTTAACCAATTTGTCTTAGCTTTCACAGCTGCATAATCTATAAATCTGAGTCCATTCCTTAGTTTTGTGCTTGCATGTACATGCGTATGTATGTGTGCAATTTTATGAAGGATATCTTAAGCCAACTCGAAGTACTTGTGAGAGTGTTCTTCCTGTGTGAGAGATTCAAGCAACATTCAGTTTGAAAAACATTGTTATAGGAAGCTTGTCTCTTTTATGGTTCTCTAAACATAGGCATCAAGGGTTTAAAAGAAAGGGGAGTGTAATGTCCACTTACGTATTAAAGTTTTCTACACATATTATTATTTTCTAGCCTATGGAAACTGTAGCAGAAAGAACTATACTCTTTAGAATTCAGAGAGTGTTTTGAGTTAAAACACACTATTTGTCAAAGTCAGCCTCGTATAGATATAGAAGAATGTCTACATTTATCCAGCTTGACCCTTCAGGACACAGGTTGTAAGTAGATAGTGCCTGAGTAGAAATTGTGTGAAGTGCTGGGCAAAGCCGCGCATGAGCTGTGGAAACCAGCAAGAGCTGCCCACCTTACCATCCAGCAGTCGGAAAGGATGGAGACCTTGATACTGACACTGCTGTTAGCTATCTCCAGCAAACTTCCCGGCCTCTGAAGGCAAAGGATGCCTGCACATCAGGTGTCCTGCACGTCCAGTCCTGGCTGGAACACAGAGGGCATGACATCACTCTATACGCTGCTAAGACGGCAGCGAGATGTCGGTCTACAGTTGTAATATGTATAGGACATACTACAGACAGCAAGAGTGAGCCCTCTGTAAGCTATAAACTTGTGATACTGATGTGCTTGCTGTCCTAACAAGTGTGCTGCTCTTGAAAGGGGGAGGTTGGATATATGGGACACAGGAAGGAAATACACGACCTATCTATGAACCCTCCTCGCAATCTCACTGTGAACCTAAAACTGCTTTTTAAGAACTTCTATTTAAAAGCCAGGCAGTGGTAGTGCACACCTTTAATCCCATCAGTTGGAGGCAGAGGCAGGTGGATCTCTTTTGAGGCCAGCCTGGTCTACAGGACAAGTTCCAGGGCTACACAAAGAAACCCTGTCTCGACAAAAAAAGAAAAAAGAAATTCTATTGAAATAAAAAGAATAAATAAGCCGAGTACACAGGTTCTTAATTGATTCAAGCATCCAAGTGGGCCCGACAAGTGAAACTGTTGATAAAGTAGCCAAGCCAGTGCACACACCATTGGAGTGTTCTCTCTGCCTGGGACATTCTCCAAAGTAACCATATGGCTCGCTTCCTCTCCTGCTCAGGGCTTTGTTCAGGTGTCTTTGAGATTGTCTAAGCAGTCAATACAAAAAAGATGGGAACAGTCACCCTCCTCCATCCAGGTCTCTGGGACTCAGACCATTCCATCTGTGGCAGTCTCAGAACACAGGGCCTCCAAGTTCTCCACAGAGGAAGGAAAGAAGAAAGCCCTCACTAGCTGTGAATTGCTTTGGACTGTAAGAGAGATGTGTTCATTCTGCTTAGCCTGTCGCTTACCAGCCACCTGACCCTACTTCACTGCCGAGGAAGCCAGGGAACAAGGAACCGCTGACATCGAGGACAACCCAGTTATGTGATAGGAATTCCAGAAGTGGTTTTTTTGGGGTTCTTTGTTTGTTTGTTGGTTGGTTGGTTTTGTTTTTGAGGGGTTTTTTTGTTTTGTTTTGATTTTGTTTTTCAAGACAAGGTTTCTTAGTAGCTATGGAGCTAGTCTTGGAATTCAAGCTCTATAGACTAGGTTGTCCTTGAACTCACAGAGACCCGCCTGCTTTCTGCCTCCAGAATGCTGAGATTAAAGGCGTGCACCATTACAGCACGGCCTCAATGAGTCAGGGCAGGAGTGATAACCCTGGTTAATGTTTCTGCACCAGATAAGCCTCTCCAACCAATGCGATTATCTGAGTCAGACCAAATCAAACTGAACTAGAAAAAGCCCAGGTTTAATGGAGACCAACGCCAAATGGCCTTCCAGCCCCACAGAGAGGAGATGAGAAAGAAAGACCAGAAAACCAAGTGTTTATTCTCGGGGTAGGGGGGCAATTTAAATACCCTGTGGGAGTGGTCTTGAGTATCTCTGTGGCAGGCTTTCTGAGGGTGGAGTCTAGACTGAGGCAACTCCCAGGGGAGGGACTTGGAATGAAACTTCACCCCGACAGTCCAGACTCTTTGGATCTGTGGATGATAGGGGCTTCCACCCAAACAGTTAAGAATAGTTACTGCCTTGCAAAGGACCTGGGTTTGATTTCCAGCACTCACACAGCACCTCACAACTGCCTGCTACTCTATTTCCATCGGATCCAATGCTCTCTCTCTCTCTCTCTCTCTCTCTCTCTCTCTGTTTTGTTTTGTTTTGTTTTTGAAGACAGGACTTCTCTGTGTAGCTCTGATTGTCCTGGAACTGGCTCTGTAGACCAGGCTGGCGACGAACTCACAGAGATTCATCTGTCTCTGCCTCCAAAATGCTGGGATTAAAGGCATGTGCCACCACCGCCCGACTGGAATTCCAGAAATGTTTATGAAGCCAAATAACAAGTTCTGCAGTAGCAGTCTAGTGTGACTTCCTAAAGCAGGACTAAGATAATGAAGACTCTTCCTTCCACCAGACCCAACAGTTTATTGAATGTTTATTATGTACAAGACAGCGTGCTGGATGACAGGAACACATAGGAATGAGAATTCCTTATACCTCGTCAGGAACACAACACTAAAAGATGCAATATTTACCCAGACCCATAATAGAAATAAACTATGAGAGCTCCCAAGGCCAGATCTCCTGCGTTTTAGTAAGAATGAGATTTTATATCTGAACACTGTTGGTATAACAGGCATAAGGCCCTTGGTCAGGAATGGCTTCCTGCAGTCCCAAAGGGGGGGGGGTCTAGATCCCAGTATCAAGCTGCCTTTGTGCTTCTCCCGTTGATTTTAGCACATCCCTCACTCCCCTTCCACTCAGCACAGAGTAGGCTGCAGCCCTCGACTCTTAGCTCAAACTAAGGTTGCTCAAGTATTTCAAGAATTTTCCCCTCTAATGAATTTCAAAAATCTGCTGAAATTCTCCCCACCCACCCATACTCCCCTACTCCTTTGAACTCTAACAGAAAGAGGCAGGTATAGGGAGCTCCGGGGCCCGTTGAAGCTCAAAGGCAGGGATGGTAGAGGATTGGGGATTAGACAAAGAAAATGTCAAGGTAAAGGTGGACCTTAATATGGACATAAAAGGTAAGCCTGGCCAGGCTCACCACTCTGCTTGGAGATGGCTTCATTTGCATAAAAAGACACATTACCTCCTTAACACAAAAACATGAAAAATTACAGTCAGCTAAGAGAAAGTCCAAAATGATAGCAATGTTCCCTCGGGTTGGGCCCAAACTCCTCAAACTCACCATCCTTCCATGCAGGGCCTTTGTGAAATCAATCCATAGCTCAAGAAATCTATTCCAAACATTTATCTATTTTCTAATTGACGAGAGCAAAGTGTACTGCCAGTTCTCGTGTGGTGGGTCAAACCTACAGGCTTAGAACGCTTGTTGGGATTGCCCTGCAGTTCCTTCAGATTGGGGATCCAGGCGCCGCGGCATGACTGGGCCCTCTGACTCAGACTTTCTCACAAGCCAGCAACCGAGGTGTCAGCCCAGCTGCTCAAGGTGGGAAGCCTCTGTTCCCAGGACGCCCAGTTTCTAGCGACACCCTGCTTGCTGCAAGCTGGCAGACAGGGGGCCTCGGATCCTTGCTCATCACCAGCCAAAGGCGCACTCTGCTCCTTACGGCACGGGTGTCTTCATAAACCAACTCATTATGTGGCAGCTTCATCCCAGCAAGCAGAAAGAACCAGCAAGACCGTGGGGGAGACAAGCCAGAGCCTTGTGAAAGCTGCTCTTGGAAGTGACTCCCCAGTGGTTTCCTGCCACATCTGCTCATTCAAAACACTAGCTCGGCCCACACTCAGAGGGCAGTTACACAGGACTGCTGTCCAGAAAGCAGCGTCTCTGCTGTCTTATTTGGGTTTGTTTATTTATTTGGTATGTGTTTGTGGAAGCCTGTGTGAATGCAGGTGCCCAGATGTTGTGGCTGTCAGAGAGTTGGTCTTCTGCCATCTCATGGGTACAGGCTGCCAGTCTGCACACATAAACACCTCTACCCCCTGAGCCATCTTACCAGCCCCCGAGAAACCATTCCAGAAGCTGTTAGCAGCGGAAGGTCTGCCTACTCCTTTCTAAGACTCTTCCTAAAATTTTACACACCAAACCTGCTGGCTTGCTATTGGCCCACATTTAGCTTCAAGGTAGGCTGGAAAATGGAGTATTCTGACTGCCAGTGGGCCCATCGAAAATTAAAAGCTTGAGCCAAGGAGATGGTTCCGTCAGCAAAGTGCCTGTCTTTCAAGCATGAGGGCTTGAATTCAATTCCAGAACCCAATTTTTAAAAAGCTGCACACATGGTGATATGTGCCTGCAATTCCAGTTTGAGACTCTCTGGCCAGCCAGCCTGTCCTACTTGGTGAGTTCAAGGCTAGTGAGAGATCCTGTCTCAAAAATAAGGTAGACATTGTTTCTGAGGGGTGATATCCACTGACCTCTGT